CACCGGCCCTTTGTCCCCCACTCCTGGTCCCAGGTGTACCTGCCACAGCTGCCCAAGGAGGAGCACCCGCCCTCCTCCCAAAGCAACTGGGGCCCCAGCCACATCGGCGTGGCCCCCACATGTGGGGGGGTGGTCAGACCCAGGCCCGAGGCCCAGCTCAGGGTGCAGGGCCAACAACCCCTGAGTCCCTCCTCCCTGTGCCTCCTCCCCTGGTGTTTTCCCTACCCCTCAGGACCCTCTTTCTTCCCCCTGGTACACATGTAAATAGTTTTCATGCTTTTCTGGTTTTGCTTGGCTTTGTGCATCAGAAGGGCCTGGGTGAATGGCGGTGGGGTAGTAGAGGATTTTGGATAGGCTACTGTGGGCATGTTGTATTGTTGGTGCTGGGAAAGTTTTGGGGAGAGGGAGGGGGAATACAGTTGCTTTTGATTTCACTACAGCCACACTGCCTATGTTGTGGTCCTGGCAGTGGGTAGAGATGGAGGCCTCTGGGTGGGCAGCTGGTGCCAGTGGTGAGAAGGCCAGTTCCCTATTCAAGGGATGGGCCCGCAAGTGAGCAGTGATGGTATCATGTACTTTGGCTCCCATGTGCCACTGCCTGAAGAGGTGGTCCTCACCTGCGATATTGTTCCTGGATGGCTGGTTCTGCTTTGGTTGTTGCTGGATGTGCTATTCTGCATGGTGAGCCTCCTCCATTCACTGGGGCTCAAAGACCTCTCCCCAGGACTCACATGTATTACTCAGGATGTGCTGCGGTGCTTATGCAGGGTATGTGCTGTGGCGCTGCCTCCAGGTGGATGACTCTGGCCCCAGACTGGGCTGCCTGGATGCAGTGATGCTGCTGTGCAGTCACAGCCTGCAGGCAGCTGGCCCAGAGGTGCAGACAGCTCTGCTGGAGCGCACATACCACAGCTTAGGCAGCTGTGCGGTCCCCATCCAGGTCTGGCAGGCGCACAGCCGTGGGGCCACAGGTCTGAGGGGGCAGATGCTTTTGCAGGTGGCAGGTCACAGCTGGGCAGCACAGCTGGGCAGCACAGTGGTTGACCCCCAGCCTCCATCTCCCCCTGACAGAAGATCTAGGAGGAGCTGGGCAGGATTATTTTGCCCAAAGTGGCACAATTTGCCCTGCACCAAAGTGCATGTTCAGGCATATGCACTGAAGCAAAAATCTCTGGCACAAATTTGTGCCGCTGGTATTTGTGCTGCTGCAAGTGGATGCCCCTGGATGCATAGATGCACCCAGTGAGTACAGACCACTTATACAGATTTCATAGACATTAGAGCTGGAAGGGACCTCGGAAGATCATCAAGTCCAGCCCCCTGCCCCAGGGGCAGGAAGTCAGCTGGAGTCATAGGAAGTCAGCTGGGGTCATAGGATCCCAGCAAGATAACCATCCAAACGTCTCTTAAAGGAGTCCAGAGTAGGTGCTTCCACCTCCTCTGGTGGCAGTCTGTTCCACGCCTTGGGGGCTCGGACAGTAAAGAAGTTCTTCCTTATGCCCAGCCTGAAACAGTCTTGGAGGAGTTTGTAGGAGCCTACTGGACAGAGTACTTGATAAGCTTTTCCCCAGCATGGTACAGTGTGTGGACATTGCCTTCTTCCACTCCTAGTAGCTAACCACTTTGGTGTTAATAGGCTAAAAACCAAGGTTGTTGTCAAGGAGATCAGCAATGGCATGAAGGTAGGGCTGCTGGCCATGTACAGGGGTTATTGATGACCTTGTATGGGTAGGGTTTCTGTACTGTGTAGGAGATACTGATGGGACCCCATGTCTATGAGTCCTGCTAAATGTTCAAATATAAACTGGATAGAAACCAGCTGTACAGTTGTTACACATTTTCAGGCACTAACTTTGTAGCTGGATGGCTTTTCTTATAGCTGGATAGTCATTTTTATAGTGTGATAATTACTTTGTGCATGTGACTAGTTTAAATTTACTGCACAATTAGCTAGTTGATTGTGTGATAGTTACTTTGCATGTGTGGCTGGTCTTTGCACATGTGGCCAGTCTAAATGTAGCATGTGATTAATCAGCTAATTGAGTAATATATGTACAGCAGAGTCGCATCTTACGCGGGGGCTATGTTCTGAAGTCAGCGCGTAAGGTGAAAATCACATATAGTCAAAATATATTGTCCCGGAGACAGCGAGAGGAGGGACCGGGAAGCACAGGAAAAAACATGAGGGAACAGTAGAGACAACAGCTCACTCATTGAGTGGAACGGCGGGCGGAATCGCCGCACTGTTTAAATTGTTCTCCAACTATACGCCGAGCGCATATAGTTGAATTCGCGTAAGTTAAATGTGCATATGATGCGACTCGACTGTAATGTATAGCAGGGGCCTATGTCACAAGTTCTGACCCCACCCTAAAGTCTAGGAAGGAACATTTCCTTGTGGTGCTGCAAGGTACGGTTGATCACTGTGAAAGGTACACTAGCATTATGAAGATTTGGTCTGGAAAGGTCCTTGATACCACAGTCTTTAGAAACTCAGCCCTGTTTGCGGGAATGAGCAAGAGGATGCTTGCTTCCATAAGCCATTATGGCCTTTATCGAAGTTCTGTTTTGTTTAGTCATTCAGGAAAACACCCTGCTCTCCTGGCTTATGATACCTTCTCACTGAACACTTGAGCAAGAGAAACAGCAGTTTAATGAACCACTGAATTGCTACAGACTAAGAATATAGTATGTGTTCAGAAGACTTAAGGTAAGGTGACAGTGCCCAAGATAGCATGGGTCATCCAGTAGACTGACTGCTGTCAGGAGCAATTTCAGGCTGGTTGCTGGCAGCGGTTGCCTTCACAGCAGTTTGTGGCTTCCTGCACAGTGTTCTTGTATTGTCTCCAAATTGCAGTGTCATACAGCTCCTAGCTGTCCGGAGAAATCTCCTGGTGTGCTTGGGGTCTAGGATGCCATCTCCAGAGAGTCTTAGGAGCTTGCTCTGTTGTCTGTTTGTGGAATGCAGGACAGGCAGTGACCTCTTGGGGGATTGAGTTCAGACCCTGCTACAACACACACCATTTTATACAATCTCTTCCATAAACTGTTCTATCTTAATCTTTAAAATAATTAAGTTTTTTCCTGCACCAGGAGGCTAGGAGAATGAACTGCTTGTTACTTCGCCAGTGCATCCTATTGTTACAGCAAGTTCTCAGCCTCACATGTGGGTTGGCCTGGGCATGCGCACCATTTCTCTGTCCACCAGTGGCACAGAGATGCTTTCTTAGATGAAGAATTCACCACAAATGCAAAAGGTAAAAGTAGCCTCCATTAGGGAGGCCACTGCTCTGCCACAGGGAGAGAACACAACATGGCTGTGTGTTCTCAGCAGCCACAGAGCCCTTAAACATGGAGCTGTGCTGAGCCACAGCTTCCAAGTTGGATGCATCACAGTGGGAAGATCCCACAGTCCCACCAAACAAGGTGGGAGGCCTTTCATTAGTTCATGAAGTATTAAATGTCTTGGCCCACAGTCCTTCCTGGTAGAACACCTAGTACACTGGAGTAGCACCAGGGATGAATTGGGCTCTTTGTGTCTAGGTTACATGGTGACTAGCAATTGCTTTTAAAAGTTGCTGGGAAACAGCCCTCACCGCTGCTCTGGTTGCCCAACTTGTTTCCTGCCACAGCTTTCTAAGGAGTGACAAGCAGAGGGGGAAAAAAATCAAAAGTCCTATCTAGCTTGGCGCTGAGCGCTCCATTGCAGCTAGGTCATTTCTTAGAATTTGACTGCTCCAACAAAGGATTTTTGCTGGACTTTTTGAGTATAAGAGCTAGGAACCTACCTAAACTGATACTAAACTCACCAAGCCCCTGATATGTTTCAAAGCATTATCTGTGTTGAATATCTTGGTGACAAATGAGCACTTGAGGCAGAGCAGAAGGCAACAATTAATGGCTTTATGCATATCCTGGAAGATTAACTTCATCCTGCCTCAACCACCCTGCAGAATCCTCTAATGCTTAAGCCTTGCTAGAAGGAATAACCTGTCTCTTGCAGACTGAGATCTGTCAGTGATGAATGGGCACTGGTGTTGCAACAGTGCTGCCTCCCATGTCACAACAGAGTAATGGCTTTGTGAAGGAGGTGGCCTGGCAATGCTGCTTACTGATTAATGTCTTGGGATAATGATTTTTACTGATCTGCCTTGTCACAGATTACTAGATCAGCCTGGAACATAGAGAAGAATTGACATGCTCAGGCTGCAATTTACAAAAGCAGACTAGCTGCACAAGCAGGACAGGATCCAATCCTGTGTTACAGGCTGTGCGCCAAGCACACAAGATTACTTTGCTCAGATCTCTAGGCTTCCAGATAAGGAATCTTCTGAGCAATGGCCCTCACGTGCCCCAGTAACAACGGTACTCGGAAAACATCCCAGCTGTGCCCCATTATCTGCTACTGGATCTCCCAGACATGTATGTGGCTTATGTTGCCCTTCAGAGCCTGACGGCCTACTGAGGACAAAAAGCCTATTACTAGTACAGCTGACAGATATTTTTTATGGTTCGCCAGGAAGTGGTGGGTGTTTCTGTAGCCAAAGGTCCTAGATACTGTCTACAGTGTCACCACTGAGATGTAGCTGGGTATGGCTGTAGCTGCTGCTCACAACACAGGTTAAGTATACTACCACCATGCAAATACTTAGGCACCTTGAGCTACACATGTGGAATACATATAAGAATAAAAGACTAAGGGAGCAGAGTCTGCTGGAGGTTCCTATATTCAAATCAAAACTCTT